GGGATTTTTCTTCTTAGCCGATCTCTGTCCGGGCGATGGGAATTTTAAACATTTTCTAGACTCGCTTGTTATGTTAGTACGCTCGGACAAAGTGCCAATACTTGAGGACTTCAGTGACATTGCTATTGATAAAGTTGTAGTATTTGTATCGCTTTGGATTTTTCTAGGCTGAAGGGGGGGTGTGAACGAGTTGCTTTCAATTCTGAAAATAAAATGAGATATTTTGCTACAGTTCATCTAGATAGTATCGATCAAAATTTATTGTAGGGGCAGTGAAAGCAATGTACGCTTACATCAAAAACCACTGCATTGAATTGTATACCTCTACACAGACATCGAATTTTTTGAAAATGTTTTCCTTTTGCAATGGAAATGAGCAGGTATTCTGTGTATTTTCGGTTTATTACCACTAATTTGTGAGGAAAGTGAAACCATTAACTCTCTTATGAAATTGTAATGAATACTCATAAAGGACGAAAGAGTTCCTTGTCCTCTAATTTGGACTCCCTTTTTTACTATAACTTAGAGTGAAAGATTTTTAAATTATGTTTTAAATAAAAATTTCATTTTATAAACATTTTACTTTTGGGCCGAGCGTGACCTCCTCATCAAAACACCCATATCTATTTAAAAATCATATGAAGTTTTTTAAGAGTAAACAAACAATATTAAACGGGTTTTCAGAGCATAATGTTGCTGACGATGGAATTATATATTCATAGCGTCAGTAAAACAAGTACGGTCGTGTTTTGGCCCACTTTGTTTGTGAATGTTTTCTTTAATAAACAGGTGTTCAATTATTAACATAAAGATTTATGAGAGCTTTGAATGACCACCATCTTTGCTATATTGAAACTATGTAGATTCGACTTCGAAAAGCTTTTAGCAGATTTTAAGGTGATTAAAACGTTAATAACGGCAATAGTATTTTTTTTCTTTTTAGAAATTTGTTCATATGCATAAATCGTCGGCTGAGTGGAAGATCGCCATACCTCAGCAAATGGTTGAATAACGCCCTATATCAGAATTTGGTTCAACTGCGTCCTATCTCAGCTGTCGAAAACGCCATATCTCTATATATATTCAATATAACGGCAGCTGAGATAGGGCGTTTTTTGACATAATTGCTGACAGGGGAGTTCTTAAACCAAATGCGGAAATAAGCGTTTTTGAATCGTTTGCTGGGATAGCGGGATCTTCCACTCAGCCGTCGTTTTATAGCACGAAAATGTTAGCGCAAAATCGCAAAAACATTGGTGGTCATTATCATTCTCTAAAAAAAAAA